TAGATTGCGATGGACCAGTAGATTGCGATGGACCAGTAGATTGCGATCGACCAGTAGATTGCGATCGACCAGTAGATTGCGATCGACGTATTGGGCACCCGTGATTTAGAGTTACCGATTAGCTCAACATGCATGTTTCTGGTCTGTGGGAGGAAACTGGAGTACACGGACAAAACCCGCCCATGTGCAAAGTGAACATGCAAACTCCATCCAGAAAGGTCTCCAGCCATGATTCGATCAGCCAACATTCAAATGAAGATGCAACAGCTCTACCGATTGAGCCACCATGCCACCAAGCTTGACTCAATATTGCAAAAAGATGGCCATTTTTCAACAGTGAAGCGTCTACAAGAAGGGACAGAGAAGACTGTACTTCTTGAGGAAGCTGAGGTCCTTCAATGTTTGCAGCAAGATGCTGCATATCTACTATAAGTCTGTTGTGGAGAGAACTATCTCTTCTGCCATCACCTCCAGAGCAAGTGACTTCAAAAAGATCAACGAGCTCATAAAGAAGGCTGGTTCAGTTCTGGGGACTCCTCTAGAACCTTTGGAGATGATTGTACAAAGAAGGATTCTTCATAAAATGAAGAACATTAAACTTTGTAGACAACCCTCAGCATCCTCTTCATCAGACTGTCATACAACAACAAAGTGTCTTCAGTCAGAGGCTTCTTCAGATCTGCTGTAGGACAGACCGCTACAAGAGATCCTTCCTGCCCACAGCCATCAGCATCTAGAACAACTCTTTAATGAAACCAGGATGATGAGTTACAAAATTTAATTTCCCATGTTGTAGGTTTGTTTTTACAAAACCTTGTGAGATTTAATTTAATGAGATTTAATTTACAAAAGGATCTAAAATTATTTTTTTTACTGAATGCTGTTTATTCCTAACTGGACATCATTTACTTCACGCAGACTCTCTCACTGGTACATTTTCATCTTTAAATCACTTCTTGGTCTGCTGCCTTCATACATCTCCTCCTTCATGTCTCTGCATGAGTGCAGCTACAGCGTGCGCTCTCAGGACACCATTACCTGCAGTGTTCCCTCAGTGAGGACTGAACTTGGCAAAAGGGCCTTCTCCTACTCCGCTCCTGTTTCCTGGAATATCTTGTAAAAAGACCTGAAGCTCTCGACCTTGACCTCTCTAAGTGTCTTGAAACATCTGTTAAGTTCCTGGCAAGAACCAATGAAGACATGCTCCTGTTTTTAGTTTTCTACACCACCTTACAACCTAACTGTTTTTCGCTACTTTTCCTTTTGATTGTCCTTTTGGTTGCCATTTTATTTTAACTTGTTAAAAAAAATTGTACGCATCCTTTATGATCTATTGTTGTCTTTGTTGTCCATTGTTGTCATCACTCTTTGTTAAATTCAGGTGTCTCTTGTAAATGAGTCCCCGAGGCTCATTGGGATTAACCTGAATAAATAAAGGTTGAATGAATTCCTCTCAACATTTTATGATTTTACATCCACAGACAGACACTACTGATCCCAGCTGTAAATTCATCTGAACACAGTGTGTTCGTTGACTCAATTTAAGGGACCACAGCACAAAAGGAAAAATAAATGTTACAGTTTTTGACACTTTTTTACAAGAACAACCATTAATAATGCTGTAAGCCCAACCGCAGCTTTCCTAATGAGCTTCGATGAATTGCTGGGCAACTCAAAATGCATTCTGAAGGAGCGACAAAGTAGCCCAAGAATAAAACATCCCCTTCATGTTCAATAACAGCAGCTAATCTTTACTCTGAGCTGGAACCTAGATCCAATTAAATTGTTCACCTTCACCTTGTTCATTGCTGGCTCCAGCATTTTTCTCCACTGTGGGTCATTAAAGCAGAAGAAATACAATTACCTTTGGGGTTTATCATACCCCAGAATCAGTAGATGGTGCTGAGGAGTTAAAAACAACTCATTTAGGTTATAGAATTATAAAATTACTAATCTTTTAAAGTGTGCTATCATGTGTTAAACTGAGTTAGTGTACTGCAGATTAAAATAAACTGAAACACAGTACGGAATATATTCAATTGTTTAAAAGGATGTAACTAAATAAGACACAAAGTAACAGAATGATACATGGTTCATGATATCAACAGTACAACTTCTGATAAATTGCTAAACATTAATAAAATTATTTCCAGACGGACGGAGGGTACTTTGATTTCCCCGTCTTTGCTTTGCGACAGGACACAAACATTGTAAATCAGGCATTATCTGGCTAACCAAACACGGTCTTTGGTTGTAAAAACTGTGACTAAACAAACAGTGGTGGGTTAAAGTGTAGATATTTTATAATAACTAACATAGACCTTATTTTACACACAGGTAATGTTTTTGAGAAAAAGATGATTCACAAGCCTGAAAAACTATTTATAAAAGCAGACCCTTGTTTCAATCATTCAGTTCAACTTTATTGTCCATAACATCCAATGAAATGAATGAAAATGTGTCTTTGACATCTGGCTCACAAAAACAACACAAGTTAAAAATGTCATTTAAAAACTTTAAAAAGCTTTGCTAACTCAATTAAAAACATTCAATCAAAACCATTCTAAAATATGTGATACATTAAAATATGGAAGCATCCCAGCAGACAATGGTTTGTTATGTGAGGCTGCGTTTAAATAGGACCTTGTTAAGGACACTCGCCGCAAAGGGTACAAATGACTTTTTGTACCCATTTTCGTTGCTAAAGGAACCAGCAGTCTTCTGCCAGATTGTACCAGCCTGAATAATGGTTTCAGTGGATGAGTTGGGGCATTGTAAACCTGTATTGTCGTTTTTTCCAGAACTGTAGGTCTGTATGTTTCATTTGTTGATGAATGATTTGTTTAACCATTGGCCTAGATTGAACACAATCTATCCTTTTCTCCATATATGACAAAAGTCACTTAACAAGTACGATTGATAACCTCTAGACAGACTATCATTAAAAAAAAAAAAAACAGACTGGCCTTTAATGTTGCTGCAATTACTCTGCCATAAATGTACTTTTTGTATTAATCATTTATTTCATTCCAGATGATCGCCATCGTGTCAAGCTCCACTCTCTGCTCGCAGACCCCAGTTCTGAATACGTCAATGCGAACTACATAGACGTAAGTAAACTTTGATTCCTGATTTTTCTCTTGCTTCCACTCCATTTTTCATATTTTTTTTCTGCCTGTTTTAGTATTGTACAAGTTGACCCATTGCTTTAGCACTCACCAGACACCTCCACATGTTAGTCATAACTGTGCCTTCACGACCAAGCCCATAATAGAGTTGTTTATCCATTTGTGCCAGTACATGTGGGTTTTCAGGGCAGATTGTACCACAGCAAGTCCAAAGATCCTACAAGAGCCCATAAGCTCAATCAGTGGACCTTCTGACTCATCCTAAAGCTTTGCAAAGCAACACCAGGCCAAAAGCAGCTCTGCTGAGCCTTTCATCTGCTTTCACATATCGTGATCTCACCTACAGCTCAGCTCGAGTGTGTCTCAGGCAGTCTCTCTGGTGCCAGCAGCAGTTTGCACCCCCATAAGATCTTATTGCTAAACCTTTATATTTGATGGACCGACTCTGGCTGTGAGCTTATAATGGAAACCTGAAAGGAACTCCACATTGTTTTTGGCTGAATCTACTGTAGCGGGGTGCAGAGCTTGTTATTGTCACTGAATGTAAAAAAAAAAAAAATGTAGGCAGATAAGGCAAGCTCTGTGTTTTGTGTGGCCACTTTATCCCCTTTAGTGCTCTGCAAGTGCTCCATTAGAGCATATGCTCTAAGGACCTCTGTGTCATTAACTGTGCCAGCTACAGCGCCGCCCGCATGTCATGCCAAGACCCTCGGCTCACATCACCACGGCGAAACTCTGCCAAATTAGCCTCAGAAAGCTGGAATAAATCAAACTTTGCTATTTTAAAGGTTAAACTTAAACCTCCCCTCTCATTCACATGCAGGTTTATGCAGGGGGATCATAAAGGTGGCTTTTTAGAGACAAACTTTAAGGGGTCGTCTTGTCTAAAGTTCTTCGATATAACAGACGGGATTTCAGTCATGCACATTTTTCACCTTTGCTGTTTTAGGTTGGCTTCACACTGTGATCTTTGACCATCTTAAAATCTTTCGCTGTGAAAAGAATTGTAAGAAAATTCTTCGTCGTGGGCTTGAACCAGTGGTCAGTGGTCATTCAATATGGCAAGCTTTCTGACTGCTGATTCCGCGCTCTCACAACCAAAGATGACCTACAACAAATATCAAGCAGTGTCTGAATTTTTCTGGTAAAGTTGTGAGGTATCACTGCTCCTGTGATCGGCCTGAGTTTCACAGGCATTAAGGAGTTCGTGTCTCTTTTGCCTCAACCTCCTCCTTTTCTATTAATTGTCCAAATATAAGAAAATGAGTGTCAATGATTAAGTTGATTTTCTTTTATTGTTGGACTGAAATCTGTCAGACTTGCTGACATGCTCATTTCTACTGTGGAAAGAAGTCAGCCCCTAACATCCAGTTAATCTGACATTGTACATTGTGACACAGGTTACTATCAAGATTTGAGAATCTCAAAGTCGCACAGTGTGACATGTACCACTTGTTAAAGACAGCGGAGAACTGCATCATGAAGCCAGGCTTAAAGCACTACTGTCAGCTTGTCTTGTTGCTCTGAGATGCAGGTAACACAGATGGTGTAACATAAAATGGGAATTGCACATGGCTGTCATAGCAGAGCAGACCAATTAGGAAGCTTTATTGTCCCCCAATGTGGAGCGAAGGTGGGGAATTGAGAAAGGCTGGATAATCTGAACTGATGTTTGGTGCATAAGCACAAACAGTCACAACCTTCCCTGCTACAGCACAAAGCCACAAAAAGGCAACCCTCTCATTCACCAGGGAGAACTCCAACATCGAGTTGTTCAGCCAGGGGCTTTTGAGGAACCCCATACCCACCCAATGCATATCTCTAGCAACTCCAGACTAAGAGTCCAACATCTTTCCAGGAGTTGGGTTCCAGAGACCAAGCTGTGCGTAGAGGCAAGCGCATCGATATCTAATTGGTACTGCTCAGCCTCACACACAATCTCCAGCTCATAACTCACCAGTGAGGTGACATTCCACACCTCTAATGCTAATCTATGCCACCAGGAATCAACGTGGCTAGGGACCCTCCCTCACCTGTCATCTGACAACCACAGCACCTGACCTTGACGATCCGCCTTGCAAGTGGTGGGTCCACGTTGAGGTGGCTTCTTGTTGTTCTGTCAGCTTTGTCCTGAGCCCCAGGAGACAAAGCTTGACCACCAGGATCCACATTGTGAATGTCCCATATTTTCATTAGGTTCTGAAATTCTTTTGTGGCAGAATTACAAGCCCACCACAGTTACTACAGCAGTTCTTTTTCAGCATATTCTTGTAAATGTACATTAGTCTGGAAACGCTGCTATATTTAGAAGAATATTTTTAGAAATAAATAAAAATATTTTTACAAAGTATTAGCTTAGTGATAATTGTTGCATTTGTATACAAAAGTCCCTAAAAAAGCATGTAAAAACATTTTAAAATCTAAACAAATTAACTTAGTTCCCCGACTTTATAATTTGTGGGCAGGGAAAGGCATTCTATTTTTTTTGTTTGATTGGTTTTTTTGGACAATATTCACCTTCAGTATTTTTAAAAATCTTATTCCTAAAAGTTAGTTAAGGTACTTTGTGACTGAATTTTTCTTATCCAATACTGTTTTATTTTCAGACTAATTTTAGTAAAATATTTTGAACTGGACAGGGGTGTTGTAAAAGTCTATGAATATGCTGATAGTCTTTGACTGTATGAACTGACGTCTTAGAGTCTTGTCATTTTTCATCTAAAGCTTGATGAGAGGTTTTCTGTTCATCCTTAAATTGCCTTCAAAGCTCCTGCTGTGGTTATTTCTTTATCTTCTTTTTAACATTCAAAGTGTACGTGCAACAGGCTAAGAACAATTACCTTATGTCTGTTGTATAGATAAAATAACATGTTGGTTTTATGAACCAAATGCGATCCTTATTTTAGAACTGTGAATATTTGAGTCTTATGAACTAAAGTCTTTTCACAGGTTCCCCCCAAAATACATGTGTAATAATTTCATTACCTTGTTTCCCCAATCTTTAATCACAATAATTGCCTCTTTTGTCTTCTCTCCTCCTTTCCTTCTTTCTTTTTCCGTTTTCTACCCCTCTGGTTTTTTTTTTTTGGCAACTCTTAGATTCGGATAAACAGGGAAGTAAGTATCTTGCTTCTCTTCTCTTTGCATATCTTCCTCATCTTCATGCTACCCCTCTCTCTGCACCTCTCAGCACTCCATGGCTTCATTCCAACAGTATATACCCTTGCCCTTGTCTCCTTTGAGTTTCTTTGCCTGTTCACTTGTAATTCACATTTTTATTTTTGTAAATATGGCTGCAGCAGTTTTTTTGTCCTGTCGCCCACTCTCGGTGAAAGACGGAAGAGCGAAAACAAAAAAGTGAGCTTTAAAAACTAGAAAAAGGGAGGTCATGTCAATGTTCTTGTTCACATGTACAATTGGGAAGAGGTACAAATATATTCAGTGATAATGAACTGAGAACAAAACCAAGCACATACAGTACAAATATGAGTTTTCCAAGATTATAGCCAATATTTATCGCAAATATTATGGAAAAGTAGGTGCCATATATAACCAGATAGTAGCACAAAGTTTGAAAAAGGTGGACTTGAAGTGCATAATGCAACTCATCCTCAGTCCCAGGGTGTTAAAATCAAATTTTATGTAAGAAAAAGCTTTGACCTGTTCAAACAGAGGTGTCCTTTAGTATACCTTTTGAATATATATATATATATATATATATGTATATATATTTTTTTTTTACTATTTTTTCTTTTCTTTTCTTATACTTACTGTTTTCTTTGGGTTTCATCTTCAGTGGTTATTTTTATAAATCAATTTGGGGGGGAAAGGGCATACATTTAAATTACTTACCCTCACCTGCTATTCAAGAAAACACTCATTCCTTCTGCGTATGGAACTGTTAGTAAAGGCTCTTTAAATATTGATAATGGTCTCTATAAATGGTCCCTGGGCAAGACACTGAACCCCTCATTGCCTCTGTGTGTCTCATCAGTGTATGAATGTGATCTAAAAGCACTGATAGAATGATTTGTTCAATTAACTTTGTAGAGATCTAGTAGAGTGCTGTATGAATGGGTAAATGAGGCACAGATTGTAGTGTAAAGCGCTTTGAGTGTCATGAAATAAGATAGAAAGGTGCTATATATTTACCATTCCATTTACATACATAAAAAAGCCAATTAGTAAAGTTCTCTATCTAAGGAAGCCAGCAGACACAGTGAATCTTCACTTCATCACAGTCTCCCGTCCTGAGCAAGCACAGTGGCAACAGTGGAAAGGAAAAACTCCCTCCTAATAGGAAGAAACCTCCAGCAGAACCAGACTCGGGACAAGCGGCCATCTGCTTTAACCGGCTGGTTGAGAGGACAGGAAGTAGAAACAAACAAAAGCAGAATGACAGGTTCAGGTGTACCCGCTATTGGAAGAAAGACAACAAACACATTAAGGATAGAAAATATTACAAATACAAAACAGGTAGAGTAGAGCAAGTAAAGACAGCTACAGAGTGAAGAAATGTGGTAATTTTGTCCTCCAGCCATCTAAGCCTATAGCAACATAACTAAGGGACAGCTCAGGAAACCCAAGCCAACCCTAACTATAGGATTTATCAAAAAGGAAATGCCTAAGTCTAATCTTAAAAGTGGACAATGTGTTAGTCTCATGGACAGAAACTGAAAGTTGGTTCTACAAGTGAGGAGCCTGATAACTGAATGATCTTCCTCCCATTCTGCTTTTGGAAACTCTAGGAACCACAAGTAAACCTGCAGTCTGAGAGCCAAGTGCTCTCTTGGGAAAATATGGAACAATAAAATCTGTAATATAAGCTGGAGCCAGGTTGTTGAGAGCTTTTGATGTTAGAAGTAAGATTTTGAATTCAATTCTGAATTTGACAGGGAGCCAGTGGAGAGAAACTAAAATTGGAGAGACATGATTTCTCCTGCTAACTATCATTAAAACTCTGGCAGCAGCATTTTGGATCAGCTGAAGACTTTTAGGTAGTTGAACACACAGATAATAAACCATTGCAATAGTCCAGTCTAGACATGATAAATGCATGAACCAGTTTTTCTGCATCATTTTTAGATGTTTGTAATTTTAGTGATATTACGCAGATGGAAGAAGGTGGTTCTAGTAACATTTTAATGTGGGTGTTGAAGGATATATCCTGATCAAAAAAAAACTACAGAGGTTTTTAACATTAGAACTGGAGGCCAAATTAATATCATCCAGAAAAAATGAAACATTGCAAAACGTATTCCTAAGGTGCTCGGGTCCAAAAACCAAAACCTCAGTCTTGTCTGTGTTCAAAAGGAGAAAATTAAGGGTCATCCAGATTTTGATGTTTTTAAGACATGCTTGTAGTCTAAGTAGCTGATTGGATGCATTGGGTTTCATGGACAATGATAATAATTATATACATCATAATTATATATGTATCATCAGCATAACAATGAAAATGTATCTCATGCTGTTTAATAACTTTACCTAATGGAAGCATATATAAAGTAAAGAGTATTGGCCCAAGCACTGAGCACTGAGGAACTCCATGACTAACTGTGGTGTGTGAAGAAGATTTATTTACATTTACAAACTGGAATCTCTCAGATAAACATGACTTAAACAATTTACAATTTTAGAGCGGTTTCTGTAATCCCAATATCATCTTCAAGCCTCTGTAGTAAAATATTGTGATCAACAGTATCAAATGCAGCACTGAGGTCTAACAGGACCAATGTAGACACAAGTCCATTGTCAGAGGCCATGAGAATATAATTAGTTACTTTCACCAGAGCTGTTTTCATGCTATGATGAGCTCTAAACCCTGACTGAAACTCCACAGATTATTTCTTTGCAGATGTTCATGCAACGGATTAATGCTAGATTAGATAAAGGTCTATAACTGGTCAGACTTCCTTAAACAAGATCATGTTCCTTAAGTAAACCTTAATGGTTATGTACTACAGCATCCTTAAAATGCTGTGGTATGTAACCATTCATTAATGACAAATTAAGCAGACACAACATGTGAATATTAATCACGGGAAATACTACTTTAAGCAGTCTGGTGGGATGGGATCTAGCAGACATGTGTATGGTTTGGATGAGGTTATTAGGTTTGACAATTCATAGAGCTCAACAGGACAAAAACTGTCCAAACATAAATCAGGTTCTAGTAACATTTCTAAAGCTGCCTCATCTCACAGGGAATCAGAGGCAATAGTATGAAGGATGGTTTGAATTTTCTCTCAAATTGAAAATTATTTATTCATAAAGAATCTCATGAAGTCATCACTGCTGATAGCTGTAGGGATACATGGTTCAACAGAGATAGGACTTTTCATTAGTATAGTTATAGTACTGAACATAAACCTGGGATTATTTTTATTCTCATTTATTAAAGATGAACAAGCAGCGAGCTTTCTTTTTTGTTAGCATGTTCTCTCCAAGTTAAATAAAATTCTTCCATCTTAGTGGAACACCATTTCCTTTCCAGCTTTCTAGATGCTTGTTTTAAAGTATGTAACTCAGAATTAAACCAAGGAGCCAGTCTCCTCTGATTGATTACTTTCTTTTTCAACGGAGCGATTTTATTGTCAAGTTTGCATTGAAGTTGTTAAATGATCAACAAGATCTCTGCTCTCTGGTGCACTACTCCTCAAGAAAGAGGAAAATAACAATGGAGATTCTTTAAATTTGGTTACTGCATTCTCTTATTAACAACTATAATGAAAGTACTCTTAGTGGCTGTGTAGTCATTTAACGTAAACTCAAGGGTTATTTAAAAAATGGTCAGACAGAACAGGATTAGTCTAGCTGTTCCTGTAATCCCAATATCATATCCAAGCTTCTGTAGTAAAATATTGTGATCAACTGTATCAAATGCAGCACCGAGGTCTAACAGGACCAGTGTAGATTATTATGTATTATTAAGGACTTAATCTCTCTGTCATATGTCAGAACCAGATCAAGAGTGTGATGATGAGAATGAGTAGATGTGTGGACATTTTGGATAAAACCAATAGAGAGGATCTGGATGTTTTTTGTTTATGTACCGGTGCTTCCTCAGTGTTCTTCCCCCACGTAATTTCCTCCAGCTCGTGCCTCTGTCCCTTTCCTCGTCCTTCCCCAGGTGTTTGTGCTTATCCCCTTGTTAGTGTCCCTATAAGTTATGCATTTCGTTGTTGTTCCTCCATGTCTCCCTCATACCAACTTCCAAGTAAGTTTTGCTGCCACATCATACTTTTTGGAATATTTGGCATGAGGTTATTACTAACTCCTCTATGTCAATAATTGATAACAACATTGATTTTGGTGCATTGTTGTTTTTAGAGTAATGACAATCTTGTACATTTTACCTTAAGCCCCAAAACGGTCCAGTTCATAAAAATCTGATAAAAAATGTCATGTATAAATACATATATATTTTTTATTCCACTTCATCAAATCTTTAAGCAACTTCAGACCTAACAGTAGATATTAATTTCTTTATTGCTTTTGTTTTCTTTATCTTTTTTTTAATACAATTTTCTCTTAGAAACACTTTTTTTTGTAATTCACATAAACACAAAATATGCGATATTTTCAAATATGAGGTGCACAATGAAATATGTGGCAAGGCCCCTCTGTGACTGGCAGGAATTCCTCCCTGATCCCTCGTAGCCCTCAGAGAAATCTTTACTGCTAGGAACATGGTCCTGCTTCCTTCCTCCAGCTCACTCTAGAGGACTGCAAAATTGCAGCTGGCGCTTTCTCTACTGACAGGTTTTTCCTTGTGGATGTCTGTTGGAGAAAAGACCAGCCAGACAAGGCTGCTAACTACTCTTGTAGACTTCAAAACATGCACCTGCATAAACATGTTACACTATATACCCAATTAGAGTGAAGAGGCTCTCTCTTGAGAAGAAAATAACGATAAACACCCCCCCCCCCCCCCCCCCCACACACACATTCTCAACATCACGCACACCACACTTTTAAATTAATCCCAACCCACCAAGACCATTTTTGAACATTTTTCACCATTTTTGAATTCTTTTTTTTTTTTTTTTTACCTCCGTGCATTTTGCAAGAAAGGAGAACCACACCTCCAATGAAAGTCTATGTGAAGATGGTTT